TTTTAAGGCATCACGTTAAATTGCTGGCACAGATGCTGAGTAGCAAACCGGAGAAAAACCCCAACTGACAGCAACAACAATTGTTGAATCGAAAAATATTCAAATCTCCCCTTATTTTAATGGATTTATCCATACAAAAGCTTTGTTCTTTTGCGGTTTTTTATTTTTACAAAATACATAAAAACATATTTTATTAAAGTGAGTTATATTGTTATAAATAGCAACAAAAACCATCAAACACATACACGCACGCACCGACTCACACATAATAGGCGTTGAACAAAATCATGTGTGGCTTTTTGTTTTCGTTCAGGAAAACAAGCAGAGAGAGGGAGAAAGAGGGAGAGAGGCGAAAAAAGTTGAAGCTTGGAATAAAAATAAGATCAGGTCATTCATATCTTCTGTTCATTTTGTTTTTCTCCAGTCCCTGCTTGCTTTCCTTCCTCTGCCAACTTCTCCTCGCGTCACACATATGTGCCCCTGCTGTACTTCGGAGTTTTTATGTTGGGAAGCTTGCTGCTGCTTCTTCTGCTTGCTAAAGCTTCTGCCACTGCTGTGTGTCAATTGTCACAGAGATCTGTGGCGTTTTTTGTCTTCTTTTACAGAACAATACTCAGAATACTGAAAATCCTGTTTGCAATGACAAAGAAACAAATCGGAATAAAACGAAAAAAATAAAAAATAAAAACGACAACAGCAACAAGGATAAAAGCTGTACACCAGAAAGTATGTCAGTTTTGGGGTCAAACATATGCGGCTTTCTCAGCCTGAAGAAGAAGTCGAAGTCGACAACAATAGCAAGAGCAGAAAAAAAATACCGGCAAAAACAATTATTATATTCAATTGTTTCAATACTTGAAAGAAAAATGAAAGAAAAACAATCTAAGCAAAAGGAAAAAAAAAGTATTTTACAATAACGAGGATGGATGTGCAGGAGGAAAAACTATGCCAATTTGCTGAGGAAAATGACTGTGTGGTAATCCCTATGGAGAGACACAAAGAAAATCTAGAGACAATCAGTATTTAGGAGAAATTGTCGAGCAATTATTAAAATATTTGAAATCAGCACCTCGTCTTTAGATGTTTCTGCTACGACGGGAAATGCGTTAAAAATTAATAATATTTTCTATTAAAATGTCGACCCGATTCTGGCAATTTTTCGAAAGGATACAATCATTCCGTTTAATCTTAAAATTCCGATTTTCGACAGGATGACCAGACCCTCCATTTTTTTACCAGAAAATCCTTAAAAAAGTCCAACCAATTTGTGTCTATGGGGCCCAAACCAAAACGTGGACCTAAAACACACCTGAGTAAAATTTGTTAAACCAACTTTGTTTCCTGCTGAGGCTAGAGTGGGTTCCATACATGGACAGACAGACGGACGCAATTTATGTTGATCAAGACGTCATAATTTTCACATTTCTTTTTATTTTATTGAACAAAAGCAAAAAATGTCGGAAATAGCATCAAATTTTAGAATAAGTTTAAATTTGTTCGATTTGGTCACTTTTGGCACGAATAAGGGCCTTCAAATGGCCAATGAAACCTTCACACGCTGCCCGAATGTTGCTCTGCTGTATTTTGGCCCATTTCCGGTGAAGCGCTTGCTTGAGGCGATCGACACTTTGGTATTTTTTAGTGCCAACCTTGCTTTCTAAAATACTCCAGACACGCTAAGGGCTAGCGAATGCGGATCTTTTCGTATAAAAGTTGGTCCGAAGGATTTTTCGATAGAAGATAGTCGAAGTTTGGGGCTTAAGATTAATTTTCAAATTTCGCCACGATTTTTCCAATAGATAATATAATTAAAATTTAATAATTAATTAATTAGAGGAAAGTGTTTTTCTTTATGGAATATCATCCTCAGATTTCCGAAACAGAAAAAACAAGCCCTTCGTTCGTGAGAAATACGAGCTTAACAAAAAACCGATTCATACGTACTTCTATACGTATACATTTCTTTTCACATAAAATATTATATTCGCAAGAGATTCTTCTTTCTTCCCCTTTACGCCCAAATCACACGATCACCGAATGACCCTCTTTCCTGAGATCGTCACGTTCCATGTTTAACGATAAACTTGAACTTGTTTAAACAACATACAACCATTTTTGAAACGCATCATCCAACATCGTCGTCTCTTGTATTGTCTTTTAAAAATCAAAATAACAGAAAAACAAACACACAACCCAAAACATGTGCCGAAAAAAAGGTCAGATGTACGTGTGTTCTCAGATTGCTGTAGGAAACAAACACTTTGCACACGCGCCGCTATAAAACAAGGGCAGCAAGCTGTAGCCGGCGCACAGAAAAGCTGCAATCTTTGGCGCACTTGGTTCACATGCTATGCTACGCTATCTTGGCATGGGTTGTTCCTGGGATTAAATGCGATAAAGAGTTGTGGCGGTGGTGGTGCTGGTTCCTCTTGTTGCATGGCCGATTAACAAGTGAAGATAAAAATCTTCAGATATCGTAATGCGAAAGTAAGAGAGGCAGAAAATGATACTCACTGTTTTAAGAACTAAACTGTACGTAAATTTTACGTGAAATTGAAAAAATCAGACCTCAGTTACACTATGGACGGAGTTTTTATTTCATTAAAAAATCGGACCTCAGTTACACTGAGACCTCATTTACTCTGAGGCCGAAGTTTTTTCTATGCGAAAAGAAATCAGACTCAGTTCGACTGAGGACGGACTTTTTTCTATAGAAAAAAGTCAGACCTCAGTTCGACTGAAAAAAAGACCTCAGCTATACTGAGACTGGAGTGTTTTCCATAGAAAAAAATCCGACCTCAGTTATATTGAGGCCGCAGTTTTTTCCAAAGGATTTTTTTCCACAGGAGAAAATCACTGAAGCCGGAGTTTTTTCCATAGAAAAAAAATCAGACCTCACTTACACTGAGGTCGGAGTTTTTTCCATGGGAAAAATCACTGAAGTCGAATTTTTTTCCATAAGAAAAAATCAGACCAAAAAATCACTGAAGCAGAAAAAATCAGACCTCGATAGAAAAAAAATCAGACCTCAGTTACAAAAAAAGGCTCGGTTACACTGAGGCCGGTGTTTTTTCCATAGGAAAAAAATCGAACCTCAGTTACACTGAGGCCGGTGTTTTTTCCATAGGAAAAAAATCAAACCTCAGTTACACTGAGGCCGGTGTTTTTTCCATAGGAAAAAAATCGAACCTCAGTTACACTGAGGCCGGAGTTTTTTCCATAGGAAAAAAATCAGGCCTCAGTTACACTGAAGCCGGAGTTTTTTCCATAGGAAAAAAATCAAACCTCAGTTACACTGAGGCCGGTGTTTTTTCCATAGGAAAAAATTCAAACCTCAGTTACACTGAGGCCGGTGTTTTTTCCATAGGAAAAAAATCAAACCTCAGTTACACTGAGGCCTGTGTTTTTTCCATAGGAAAAAAATCAAACCTCAGTTACACTGAGGCCGGTGTTTTTTCCATAGGAAAAAAATCAAACCTCAGTTACACTGAGGCCGGTGTTTTTTCCATAGGAAAAAAATCAAACCTCAGTTACAATGAGGCCGGTGTTTTTCCATAGGAAAAAAATCAAACCTCAGTTACAATGAGGCCGGTGTTTTTTCCATAGGAAAAAAATCAAACCTCAGTTACACTGAGGCCGGTGTTTTTTCCATAGGAAAAAAATCAAACCTCAGTTACACTGAGGCCGGAGTTTTTTCCATAGGAAAAAAATTAAACCTCAGTTACACTGAGGCCGGAGTTTTTTCCATAGGAAAAAAATCAAACCTCAGTTACACTGAGGCCGGAGTTTTTTCCATAGGAAAAGAATCAAACCTCAGTTACACTGAGGCCGGAGTTTTTTCCATAGGAAAAAAATCAAACCTCAGTTACACTGAGGCCGGAGTTTTTTCCATAGGAAAAGAATCAAACCTCAGTTACACTGAGGCCGGAGTTTTTTCCATAGGAAAAGAATCAAACCTCAGTTACACTGAGGCCGGAGTTTTTTCCATAGGAAAAGAATCAAACCTCAGTTACACTGAGGCCGGAGTTTTTTCCATAGGAAAAGAATCAAACCTCAGTTACACTGAGGCCGGAGTTTTTTCCATAGGAAAAAAATCAAACCTCAGTTACACTGAGGCCGGAGTTTTTTCTATAGAAAAAATTGCCTCGCTTACACTGAGGCCTGATTTTTTTTCTATAGAAAAAATTGCCTCGCTTACACTGAGGCCTGATTTTTTTTTCTATAGAAAAAATTGCCTCGCTTACACTGAGGCCTGATTTTTTTTCTATAGAAAAAAATTGCCTCGCTTACACTGAGGCCTGATTTTTTTCTATAGAAAAAAATTGCCTCGCTTACACTGAGGCCTGATTTTTTTCTATTGAAAAAAATTGCCTCGCTTACACTGAGGCCTGATTTTTTTCTATAGAAAAAAGTCTCGGGTACACCGAGACCATAGAAAGAATGTATCTTTTCCTTTTTTTGTCCTGGAATTTCTTACTATTTTTTTTATTAAAAAAATCGGTTTATAAAAAACTTACCAAATGTAAAACGGTGTTCACGACCTCACGATTTGTCACCTGTCCCACCTCGATGAGTCCGATGAGTACGGCAAACTTCAGATTGTCGGGAGTTGTCATTCTGACAATCTCATCCGGCCGTTTAATGTCACTAAACGGCGGACGCATTAGGTCCGCCATGATGAATGAGTTTATTTTGGTTTACGGTTTGAGTTGAAAATCCGGAGTTATCGAGCCAATGGTGGTGTTTGGTTTAAAATAATAGTATATTTTTCAATTCAATTTTAAATATTGATGTTTTCAATATTTTGTTTTTGTTTTCGGTATTTTGTAATTAGTGGCACACTCACACACACACCAAAAAAGGCAATTAAGCAATTTATGTGTTGCCAAAAAGGACAACGCGAGCAAAAGAGAGGGAGAGAGAGACAATTTCAATGGTAATGGAAAGGATTAAAAATTTGCACAATTAAGCACTTGATTTTTTCCATTGTTATATTGTTGTTGTTGTTATTGTTGATGTTGTTTTTGTTCAATTTTCTTTATGCACTCTCTCACACTTGTGTGAAGATTCGTTTTAATTTGCCTTTTTTCTTTCTTATTTGTGTTAAGGATTTAATTGATTTTGTTTTCTCTTTTTTATCGTCGTTGTTTTTGTTATTTTATTTGATATTCAAGGATAACATTTAAAAGCAAGCAGAGAATGGGGTTTGGCTTGGTTTGGTTTTGTTGTTGTATTTTTTTTTAAAGCTTATAAACACACACTAATTTATACACAATACATCTAAACATGTAAACACATTGAAATTTTTATTTTTTTTTAGATTTAATTTTTTTCGAAATATTTTTTCACAAAAAATATTTACACGGTGATTTTTTATTTAAATTTTATTTTGCTGGCGTGCTGGGACTAAGCTTAATTTTTGTGTACATTTTTACTTTTACAAAGCATATATATATTTTTTTTTTATTTTTAAATATTTTTTGTTGTTTTTTAAGTTTTTTAAGGAGGGAATGATATTTTTTTTATTTTTAAAATATTTTTCTTAATTTTTTTTTTTTTGGAATGGATAGATAGCTTATAGAGACGGTATAATTTTCACAAAACACGCACTAGGTTTAATATTGCACAATTTGTTGTTGTTGTTGCGTTTTACGAAAGGATTTCTTTGTTTTATTTTTTCATAAATATTCCTTTTTTTATTTTTCTGCCATTCAGAGGTTTACATCTAAGCACAGTGGAATGATTTTATGCAGATTTGGCTCGAACATTTATAATTGATTTTTTGCTTTGAAGAGACACTGAAAACATAGAAAGAGAAAAAATAAAGATAAGAGAACATTAGGATATATTTTACAGGATTTAAGTAGACATATATTAAATAGAACAAAAAATAAAGAAAACACATTTGAATCAGGTTTGGGGTCGGATTCTGGAGAGTCTGATATGTTATAGGGACGTGCATTATGATACTGTTTTATATTTCAACTGGAAAAAGAAGGAGAAATATTTAACATGTAGGTACAGAAAGAAGGTATTGATTCAAAGAATAAGGATCAGCAAGCCAAAAATAGTGCTACCACATTTCAGGACAAAATAATTTCTATATAATTTGTCCATTATAAAATAGCCGGCTTAAAACTAGCAAATTTCGCTTCCAAATTTTCAGATTTTCCAGGAATGTAGAATGTCATTTACGACAGCGAATCATGCCATGCAACATGACAAGCACCAGCATTTAAATGTAAATAAACCTTTTGGAAGTCAAAAGAAAAATGGCTCATGAGCTGGTCATATCGCAATATTCCATTCGGCAAATATTGAAAAATGAGCTCGGGATAAAGCCATTGAAATGCCAAAAAGTACAAGAACTTACACCCCAACAGAAAGAAAATAGTCTAAAACGAGCTAGAGAATTGCTGCGCTTGGCCGAAAGTGGTGAACTGCCGAATTTGGTTTTCTCCGCTCCGATGAGAAAACATTCATTGTCCAGCAGTTTATAAACAAACAAAATGATCGTGTTTTTACTTGCCAAAGAGGTCATCTGAAAATCTGCATATTCGGTTGACCACCATAACTCAAGCTCCGGCCATGGTGATGATGTGGGCCGCCATAACGGCCGATGGTCGCTCTCCGCTTGTATTAATTGACCGTGGCATCAAAATAAATGCCGAATATTATAGTGAAAATATTCTGGAGGGTGTATTAAAGCCTTGGGCACGCAAAAATGTTGGCCGCAGACCTTGGACGTTCTAACAGGACTCAGCAATGAAGCAATGAAGAATGGTTACAAAATGAGGTTCCTCGCTTCATTTCCAGCGCACAATGGCCACAAAAATCTCCGGATACCAATACGTTGGACTATTGTGTCTGGAGTATTCTGGAAAGCAAGGTTGGCACTAAAAAATACCAAGGTGTCGATCACCTCAAGCAAGCGCTTCGGCTGGAATGGACTAAAATACCACAGAGCAACATTCGGGCAGCGTGTGACGGTTTAATTGGCCGTTTGAATAATTCATGCCAAAGGTGACCAATTCGAACAAAGCTAAACTTATTTTAAAATTTGATGTTATTTCCGACATTTTTTGTTTTCATTCAATAAAATTAAAAAAAAATAAAAATTAGGGCGTTTGACTTTGGTGCAGTTTTTTTATATCACCCTATATAGTCGACTGAAGTATTCCATTTTCATACTTCATCCAAATATATAAAAATATTGGTATTGCCAAAATCACAAAAATATCGAACATTTATATTCAATTTTATACGAAATTATAAATTTCATATTAATCGGAGATTTCCGGTTGAGAGAAATACTTAGACATATCAAGTTGTAAAGAATCGCTGATTAGTTTCGCAAGTTATGACTGATAAAAGTATGGAAAATTGTGACCCTTTGTGGGTGAGGTACCAGAAGAGGTTCGCAGATATATATAATCTTCACAACAGATTTTGTGTTAGAAAAATGTTTGTATGTGTGAAATTTGAAGAGAGTCCGGTGCTTATTTTGCTTTTTTTGAGCGTTTTAATTTTAACTCTATGTGGGCAGGTATCAGAACAAATAGTCCGATCTCTACCATTTTTGTAACACATCTTGTATTAATGGAAATATTGTGATGTACCAAGTCTGAATGGAATCGGATGTTAATTTCGCGTTTTATGAACTTATTGGTTTTTAAAAATTTTGACTACCAGAAGGAGTGGACCGATATATCCCTTCTTTACAGCAGATCTTTTGTTAATAGAAGTATTGATATGTGTCAAACTTGAAAGAATCAGAGGCTTATTTCTCGTTTTACGAGCTTCAAGGCTATTCCAAATTCTGATCCTTTGTGAGGGAGGTACCACATGGAATGGACCGATATATCTCATATATAGCAGATCTTGTCTGAGTAGAAATAATGGGATGTGTGAAATATGAAGAGAACTTTCTTATTTCGGATTTTATAATCATTTTTGAAATGATATGGACCGATGTATTTCATCTGCACACCAGACCTCGGGTTAAAAAAAAATATTGTGATGTGCGTAATTTAAAGACAATCGAACTCGTAGATCACATTTTATAAGAGTTAAAATCATTCAAAACTTTGACCATTTGTGAGAGAGGTATTTGATAAAGTGGACCGTCATTGTCCGTTTTCTTACCTGACCTAGCACTGATTCAAATATTTAGCGTGAAATTTGATAATCCTTCTTCTTTCTGTGAAGAAAATTGTTTTTTTTTTTTAATTCGACTTTTTGTGGACCAATGTACCAGGACTCTCTCGAGAGTTATCGTGCGCACCAGCCAGCCAGATAGAGAAACTATCGAACGGACGTGCGGACGGACATCGCTAGATCGACTCCAAATGTACTGAAACGGATTTGGTCCAAGGAGACATAGGGTCTAAGACCGTTATTTCGATATTGCACATTTTGGCCGTATCAAATGATACCCTCTTTAGCCATATGGCTGAGGGTATACCAAACCGTCGACTTTTTATCTGGAAATCGAAATTACGATTTGTGGAAGTTGCCACCGCTACTTTTTTCAAGGAAAGCTATACTGACCATTTCATGGCCAACTACCAGAAAATTGTACAGGGTCCCTAAAAATATTTTCAGAAATTAATACCAGTGGTAGTACTTGAAGAAATTAAATAATTTGTTGCATTCTGATACCTCATCGAAAAATTGCTATTATAGTCTCTGAAGAAGACTTTAGCAACTTTTTAACTTTAACAACTTTTTTGCACGATTACATCTTTGAAGGTTTCTGATTAATTATATTTCGTAAACTCCCACAAAAGGCAAGGTAGGTTCTTAAAATATTTTTATAATTAGAAACTTCTGGGTCGAAAAATTTAATAAAAAACGCGGAGATATTTCGTATAAAATTATATAAATTTCAAAAGTACTCCTGTGACATCATTTTTCAAATTAAATTTCTTTTTTGATCATTAAAAACCTTCTTTAAAATTTCAACTTGGAATTGTTTATTTTATTTAAATTTATTTTCACATGACATGGCAGGCAGGACAATGTCTAGACATGTCGCTGCTAGCAACTGTATCGAGTCTGTCGCTGGGAAAGAACTTCAATTGTTTTGCCTGCAGCTAAGCGCTGTCGATTAAAACCACTTTGGCATTGGCTTTTGTTCGTCACGATGGATATGAGAGTCTGTCGTCGTCGTCGTCGGCACTGACCTTCCCTAATGACCATTTGTCAAGAAAAAAAATGAATGAGTTGAAAAAAGCATTTGTAATTATTGTTGTTGTTGCTGCTTTCAGTATTTGGATTTGAATTATTCATTATTTTGCGCAAGGGTAATTGGAGAATTCAAGGTGAAAAGGTGGACACAGGAGTAATAAAGAAATATGTTTTTAAATAACATCAGTTGACAGAAATAAGTTAAGGATACCTAAGATCTTGACAGGTAGGTTTTTGAAAAATTTTAAAGATCAAATTTCGAAGGAATTTGACATAAAGTGAGAGCTTTTATTTCAAATACCGAGTAGAAACTCAATCTGCAGTGTAAAATGTGAAGATGAAAGGAAGCAAATCTTCCAAGAGAATTTTATAATGTTGATGAGTCACAACTTCCGAAAAGTCAATAAACATACATAAGGTAAGCAAGAAACGGAAAATGTCCAAGCCACCTTAAAACAACAACAAAAACATTGTAAATAGGAAAGGCCGGCAGTATTACAGGGTGAAATAAAAAAAGCAACAAAGTCAAACATTTTTTTTAACTTTTATTAAATGAAATCAGAAAATGTCGGAAATAGCCTCAAATTTTAGAATAAGTTTAGATTTGTTCGAATTGGTAACCTTTGGCACGAATTATGGCCTTTAAAAGACCAATAAAACCGTCACACGCTGTCCGAATATTGCTCTACGATAATTTGGCCCATTGACCCAGATGATCGACACTTTGGTATTTTTTAGTGCCAACCTTGCTTTTCAAAATACTCCAGACACAATAGTCCAACGGATTGGTATCCGGAGATTTTGGTGGCCATTTTGCGCTGGAAATGAAGCGCGACACCTAATTTTGTAACCAATCTTGGGTGGTGCATACTGAGTCCGATGGTGAGCTGGAATGTTCAAGGTCTGCGACCAAAATGTTTGCGTGCCCAAGGCTTTAATACACCCTCCAGGATATTTTCGCGATAACATTCGGCATTTATTCTCATGCCACTCGATTAATACGAGTGGAGAGCGACCATCGGCTGTTATGGCGGCCCACACCATAACCATGGCCGGCGCTTGTATTCTGTTGGCCAACCGAAGGTGCACATTTTCAGATGACCTATTTGGCAAGTAAACACGATCTTTCGGTTTGTTTACAAACTGCTGGACAATGAATGTTTTCTCTTCGGAGAAAACCAAATTGGACATTTCACCATTTTCGGCCAAGCGAAGCAATTCTTTAGCTCTTTTGAGTCTATTTTCTTTCTGTTGCGGTGTAAGTTCCTGGACCTTTTGCAATTTCATTGGCTTTACCCCGAGCTCATTTTTCAATATTTGCCGAATGGAATATTGCGATATGTTTAGCTCACTAGAAAATGTTCGGCCACTGCGACACGGGATTCGATCAAGTCGCTTCTTTAATTTTTGAACCATTTCTGCTGATGTTGCTGTTTTCTTCCTTGCACTTCCTTGGCGTCGGGCTACACTACCAGAATCACGATAGCAAGCGATGGTACGAGACACAAAAGATTTATTCACATATAAATGCTCTAACCACAAGTGGCTATGTGGTTTCCAGCCAAATATAAAGAAATCGCCATATCACGCTTGAATTCCATTACGAATA